CCTGGCCCCGGTTGTTCAAACGCTGGATAGCGCTATCCACCGGATAAAAGTCTATCCAGTGGATAACGCAATTGGTTTTCCTAATACTTATCCACTGGATAGTGATTTATCCAGTGGATAGCGCTATCCAACGTTTGAACAACCGGGGCCTGGAGATTTGCCCTTTTGATGGACACCTCATCCTCTTCGCAACTTTCCAGACTTTGTAGTTGGTCAAGATGATCACGCCAGTGTCCGCATTGAGCTTTGATTTAATTCAAATCAGTTGGCGAGTACGCAATAAAGTGCGGTCATATCTGCAGCAAACATAGTCATCCTAGAGTGTTTCAGTAAAAATTTAGTGCCATTTAATGCCAAACTAAAAATAACAGCGATCCTAGTATGCTGCCCTGCGGTACACCCATGATTATTTTTGCCGGGAGACACAACATTATCCCACATCGATTGTTAAAAAAACTCGACCAGAGCGATATGTGCTGTAACATGCCACTGACACCTCCCTGCCACTCCTTGAGCTCAGCGACTTTGACTTGAGCCTTGTTAATGATCGATCAAACGGCGCCTTGCAAAGGCCCAGGAACACTGCTTCCGTCACAGAGTTCCCAAGAGTTTAAAAATTTTAGAAAGTTACTTCGCTGTGCTTAATTTATTTCAATGATAGTGGACTACAAGTTTAAACAACGATACTATCTGAATCATAGCTTTGAAAACACTCTAAACGAATCTTATTAAAAATTTATAACAACAAAAGGAATATCATGTCCGTTGAATCTCTTTTACTCAGTGATCCTAACCATAGTTTCTTTGTTAATCTTGTTCTTTAACAACTGATTCTCGAATACAAGCGGTGAAAGTCATCTCCGAGAGAAAAAGGAAATGTGCCTTACTATTGGACATGGCAATTCAAAAACACGAAAGGGCGAGAAAAATATCCAGTTTGTAAAAACATAAATGATAATTATAAAGTAGTAAACAAATAAATATTAAAATAATTTTCCTTTCCTGGAAGTCTCATTATTTCATTCATCATCACAGGGAATGTGCATGTAATTTTAAATAACTCAGCGTGTGGTTTAATGCTTGTTTATTGACTAATTTCCATAAAAATAAAAGTGCAGATGGATAAACGCAGAAAATTGTAAACTACTGACCAAATGTCAAACAGCGATGACTGAAATTGTGAAAGAAGCGCGCACTCTGATTGGTTGGTTAGCCATCTACAATGTGCCCATTGGTGCACGTCAACAAAAAGCTGTGCGCGAAAAAATTGTGGCAAATTGGGAAAATCTACTCCGCTTGTGAAGTTTAAAATGTACCGACGAAATGTACAAATTAAAGAAAAGTAGAAGTTGAAAAATGCTTGATTGACGTTTTGAAGGAAAGCGAAGAAATCAAGCGACAAATTTGCCTTGGAGGACTTCTTCATTGTTTTCTTCTCGGCAGAGAGCTCCAAAGAACAACCGAGTGAGCGAAGTTTTTTAGCGATTTAAGCCCGTGATTCAAGGTACATTTTGTGTGTTTTTATATTAGAGAAATTTATGTTTTGAAATGGAAATAAGCATTGTGTTATCGACTTTTTAGTCAAGTTGACGTTAAATTCAAGCAAATATTTGAGGAAACGCGCTCAGATTCGAGACAGCTTTGTGTGTAGCTTTGGTGAGTAAGTTTAGTTAAGAGTAGAACACATGACACTGGAGTTGTAGTGCGAATTTCATTCAAGTAAAAACAGTTAGGTTTTCAAACAATTTTTTCAAAAATTGACCTCTCTGTTTATTACTTTGTTCGTGTTCATTCATAACAGTAGCTCAAAGCACGATCGTATCAAAAAAGGCAGCAGCATCTAAATTGCTCACGCATCGCTTCGCAGCGCCGATTTTATCGGCGAATTTTTGCAATTTTGACTTGCTGCTCCATTTTCCACGGACATCGCGTCCAGTGTTCGGTGGACTCCTCGTATTAAAGTGGAACCTTCATCCCTATCTCTCAAAAATGAGGCTATTCCTTAAAATCTTGAGGCCACCTGATTGCAAGTCCAGCGCTTGGCTACGTAGGCTCAAACATTTCGAAGAATGACTTCTCCTATCCTACGAATACAACCTCAGTGAAGCATGACTTCTCCTATCCTACGAATACAGCTGTCTCTCCTCGCTCCTCGCCGCAACGGACGTTTAACATCTCTTTTCTGCGGCGAGGAGCAGGGAAGACGGCTAATTCGCAGGGTAGACTTCTCCTGCTCTCATACCAAATTCTAACCAGGATTTCTTTTTGGTAAAAGTCCTTCTCAGGTGTTTCAGTAGAAAAAAAAGAAGAAATTGGTCTGATGTAAATTGGATTGACATGACCGAAGTTGGATTAACTGCGATCGTCTTATTAACAGTGCAGTCCTTTCTTATCATTTTTAACATTGTCGGGAACTCTTTGGTTTGCGCAATCATCGTGCGGAATCAGGACATGAGGTACGCTTGAGGAAAAAAATAATGTGGTGTTTCCATTCGACACTTTAGAAACAAGAAGGGAACTGGAGCCGAAATGCGTCCCGCAATCGCTTCTGGGATGGTTACTGGGGACGCGCCGGTCAGCTATTGCACATTTTTTTTCCCGTCCCTAGTAACAGTCTCAGAGGACTTTGCTAAAGTTAATTCCAACCTGTTTCCTTTTCGTTTCTAAAAAGGAGAATTGGCGTTGACAGCAACGTTCAACTGTTCCCAGAGCTTCCAGTTAAATGATATTAGTAAAATCCAACTAGTGGTCTATTATCAATGCTGCGTTCTGATTGGTTGAGTTATAGCCCCCTAGCAGCGAAAATCCCGGGCTTTTTGGCGGCAAAAAAGGCTTAAATTCTAGCTTTTAACTAGCTTAAAATTTTTTATTCTCGATACTTTTGACCAAGTAGTTGAATTTTACTAAAACAATAATGATTCCTCTCGCCCTCATGGCCTCTAATTCAATAGCCCATTCAGCCTTCGGCTTCATGGGCTATTGACTCAGAGCCCATTCGGGCTCGAGGAATGATTGTTAATTATTCATGCTTTATTTTTCAGTTGGATCGGTTTTTTTTTGCCTAGCATGCGCCTGTAACTATAACCGATGCGCACGTGCCCCCTAGCGCTGTTTATGTGTTCGGTGGTTCAGGCAAAATAAATCTTTTCACCTCATTAGGACTCGAACCCACAACCTCCGGACTAGATCTACTGTTGTCTCTCTACTAACTACGCTACGAGGCCTAGCGGCGGGAAGAAGTCGAAAGATGATCACCATCAGATCTAATAAAGACATCGAATTCTCACTGATGTCAATAGACCTTTTTCTCCGAATCGACGTGATATCCTCTAATTCCCTCTCCTAGATATAGGAATACTAACAGTCAACTCTCTTGAAGACGGACACCTTCGGGACCGAGCCTGCATGTCTGTCCGTCTTAGAGGGTGTCCGGCTTATAGAGAGTCAAGGTAACGTAACACCAGTAAAAACGTAAGCTGAACCCATTCTCATTGAATACTCGTCTGTTTAACCAATGTCAAGTGAAATAATTCTCTTATTAACCAATCAAATCGTTTCAAGAAAACGTCCACGGCTTCGTTGTACAAACAATTTGTAACAGTATACAGCCGCTGGGATCTGTGTATCATGAAAGAATTAATGAATTATTAGACGGAGCTTGAAGCGAACTCAGTGAGGATCACTGAAAGATTATCTTTGCGAGTGGTTTTGATTTTTGCCGTCATACATTGCCCATGTAAGCATGCACTTCGAAAAGAGTCGATGATTAAACGTTCTGTGGACGATTTGGAGCTTTTCTATAGTCAGCGCGGAAAAAGCGCCAGGATCATTGGATTTTTGTCATCACATTGGAGTGGATTTCGACAGCTCAAGCACCGTGTTCAAAAGCGATGACCTACGTAGCAACTAAATAAAGAGGAATGCTTTAGTTCCGAAATTGCAGTCTTCCTTTACAACTTGTATTACCAGAAGTGTTGCCTGATAAAAACTGGCACTTGAAAAGTTGTGAACAGAACATTCGCTCGACTGTGAAGCTAACACAAAAGTAATTACTAACGGAGGAATTTATGACATCGCTCTACATTCCAAACTAAGACCTACTTATCTCAGGAAAAACAAAGTGGATTGTATCTGCGCCTAAAGAATCATGACTGACTAACCAAGGCAATTCTTAGAAGTCCGTATAGCTTCTTCAGTTTAAGATACAATTCTTTCCTTTAAATTCGCATCTGTAGATCACTTTTCGTTACAAAAGAACTGGGCCCGGCGTAACAAAACATAGAAGGGAATCATCACTGACGGACAAAACAACTACAAGTATTTATTCATGCAGATAAACGCATTTCGGAAAAAAAATAGTAAAAACTAAAACCTTGATTAATATAGAGGGTCATTTAACCAAAATAAAAAAAAGTTAAAAAAAATTGAATAAAGAAAACCGGTGCTAGAATCGAATCCAGAACTACAGACAATAATTTGCAGGAAACAGTTAATCAATATGCATGGAACAAACCAGCTTCATTTACACAATCAGAGTTTAAAATTCTCCACAGTGTAATCTACACTCTAAAACGAAAAGATAGAAAATGTCTGAGGGATTTTATAGAGCAAAACGCCAAAGTCACGTTTCACTAGCTTATGATTGATTCCTCAGGTGTTGTTTGATGAAGAACAATAGCACTGTCTTAGGTATGGGGCTGCGCTCGCGTGCGTGGAGTTCCGCTATTAACTGCCAACTTATATTCTCCAATATGGAGTAGAGTTTCTTGTGAGATCAGGAAAAGTCACAGTGGCAGAACCATTAGACTAAAATCGAGTGTCCACGTTGTTGATATTCAACGTGTTAATCAAAAAATCACTGCATATTATAGAAACACGAATGTTAAAAACAACAACAACAAAGGAAATTAATCCACCACTGCATGCAACCTCTCCACTAAAAACTCATATATTACTTTCCTTTCTTTAACTTCCAAAGGACGTCAATAAACTTTCTACTCATGAACCTGGCTGTAGCAGATATGACCGTAGCCACGTTTTTTGCACCGCAATACGTTTTGACACACTCCTTCACCCATCCAGATGGATTAACTGGTACAATACTGTGCAGAATACTGACTGGTGGAAATTTAGGTTGGATAGGAGCTGCTGCGTCAGTGTTCACCTTGGTTGTGACATCAATTGAACGATATTACGCAGTGTTATATCCTCATGAAAACAATGGAAGAATTTCTAACCGCAAGCTCAAGGTATTTTTGATAAACTCTTTAGCGCCTGTCTTGATAATAAAGACTTTTCAGTACACACTGTTCAGATGGTTTAACAAACTTATAAATGGCATTATTATTTTTGTTTTCGCGTGTAATATAACACCTGTCAAGTAGAATTCTCGTTCCCAGTCTGCCTCGACGAGTTTGGGTGTGGCATTTTATCGCGAGAGTTGACCTAAGAACCATTAAAAAAAAGGGGGCCGTAAAATCCAAAGTAGCAGCGCTTCGAGCGTCTTGAAATTAATTATTAGCGGTACACAATGATAGCCTTCTTGTCTGAATGAAAAGTCTTAGCAGACCATATATACATTTTCTTTAATATCATTTCAGGTGATTATACCTTGTTCTTGGATATTTGGAGTGGTAATCAATATCCCGGGGTTTATCTGTGCGAATTATGTTAAGGCTGAGCAAGCTTGTGCTTATGTGTGTCCTGAAGAATGGATCGGCCAGCTCTATAGTTCCACTTGGTGTCTGTTGGTAGCATTTCTGCCGGTGTGTTTGATGACTTCTTTGTACTCCCGTGTCGTGTTCACTTTGTGGTTCAAAAGTGCCAAGTCCGATGAAAACAGCAGTCAGCAACTACAGGTGTGAAACAATACTGACATTAGTTCAGTTCAGTAGTAACAGTAGTGGGGGTAGTAGTAGTAGTGGTGACGGTTGTGATGATTATGCTTATGGTGGGTGGTGGTGGTGGTGATGGTAGAAGTAGTAGTTGGGATGGTAATGGTGGTAGTAGTAGTGGTGGTAATGTTAGTGTCTGGTGGTGGTGGTGTGGTGGTGGTGGTGGTAGTGATGGTGGTACTGTAGTAGTGGTGGTCATGGTAACGGCGGTCGGTGGTTGTGGTGGTGGTGGTAGTTTTGGTGGAGGAGGTGGTGGTAGTAGCAGTATTTGGTGGTGGTGGTGGTGTTTTACATAAAGTATAAGTAAAATGATTTTACTTAATAACCTTTGAAACAAAAACTGTTGGTTACAGTTTAATGCAGTAGTATCGTTGCACAGATCTGAAACGATTACCAAACAAGAGATTGTTTGATTAAACTGGATTGCACTTGAAAAATCGAAATTAGGGCAATGATTTTATCCTGTTTCGCGTTATTTTGCCCTTTACATATTACTAAACTAGGCTGTAATATTGAGAGATAGAAGGATCTGAAACAGAGCCAGCATGAACAATTCAACTCTTATTTGACGGGTTTATTAAGTAAGTCACTCTGGTAGTAATAGTAGTGGCGGTGGTGCCAACAGCGGACGTGACTGTGTAGTGGTACTGATACCATAATGCTCGAAGCTGTGATAAATATAGTACTTGTTAAAAGAGTAGCAGACAATATCACATTGTGCACAATTACATTATCATAAATCCTCTTTCCCCCCCCCGTCTCTATTAAGCCCCGCACCCTCAAACGTTCTTGAAATAAATTAGCCCCGGGGAGGCTTAGTAGAGACCGGATTTATTGTCAAAAAGGGAAAACCCCAAGGGGTATGGTTTCTGCGCCGTTACGATCTGAAAACGGGTACAGACTTTGCCCTTTCTGGTCTTTCGAGGGAATTACGGGAGTGTAAGAACGTCTTTGTCGTTTGCAAACGAGTGAGAAAGAGTGATATACGAATTCGAAAGGTAATTTAAGGAATCTTTTTGTTGGCGTTCTAATCTAAGTAGTAATGACATAATTTCTGTCTAAGTAAACATAAATGGCGCGTTTGTGACCGGCCCCTGGCAAACAAAGTCTATAGGCCAGGTTTGAAAACGGGTATGGATTTTAGAAGCCATGTGAGAGAAAAGTGTGGAAATGAAACTTTTTGGCTTAAATAAGGTTAGGATTTTAAGAACTAGGCGGCGCACCTCCACCAAGAAATCCCGGAGTAGCCCCGGGTTTACGGTATACAATTTGTTTTTACTTTTTTAGGGTGTGATGAAGGTGCGAAAAAGAGTTACTTTGATGGTCCTGATTATCAGTTTCATTTTTGGGGTGTGCTGGTTAACTGACTCAGCTAATTACGTCGCCTACTACTTTTTCTCGTATCCTGCATTCTTACCATATGCAGCATCTAACACGATGATCTTGTTCAATTCTGCTATCAATCCAGTGGTGTACGCCTGAGTCAACCTGAGATTCAGGCAAAAAGTGAGGGGAATGTTGTGCGGCAATTGCTATAAAGCGTCGTCCACGGTGCATCCGTCAAGAGGAACTTACGAAATGGAAGTTACTAACGGCCGAATCCAAGAGACAGATGAAGTCTGCACTGGGTGACGATAGTTTTAGCAAAATTTCCTTTCCGTCCGTGGTGGTTCCTCCCTATATTTGATGCCATTTCTTTTTTATTATTATTATTTTTCCTTGAAGTACTACTATCTAAGATTCTCAGTGGTTACATATGTCCAACGGAGGAGTGTTGATGTGGCGAGTTTGCTTCGACTGCAAATTACTTACAGCTGTTTTGAGCCCGGACAGACGAAAATGATTTGGGTGCCTCCAGCAGTCTACAAGCCATTTTACGCAGGGAAAAAACTTGTGTCTTGTTCTACAGTAAACGGGACGTATTTTAGTTGCTGAGTGATTATTAAACGTCAACATAAAAGGTGCCAGAACTGCACTGGGGAAAACTGTGCTGTAACTAACTTACAAGAAAATAATTGAGGAATTTTACATAAGAATGGTTCAATTTGTAAATAGATTCTGAAATACGACTAGTAATAAACAAAGGTTAAAGAGTGCGGGCGACAACGATCGGAGGTCAAAATGCTTTTGTTCCAACGCTGTGCCTTGCCTAAGTTTAACGTGATAGATGATCAAAACACGCGTGATCAGATTATGAGGGGTAGAAGGTCCAAACGCGCGTGATGAAATTGCATTTTGTTCCTTTCATTCATTCTTAATGGAAATCCAAACGAATGCTGGCAACACACATGCGACGCATGCGTAATAACTACCTGGAGATTAGGATTGCGGGCTCCTCTTGTCGCCCGCAAATATATAGACGTGGCCAGGGCTAAAAGCGAAGCTCCTGTTAATAAATTTATAATTTGAATCAAACAATAAACTTATAATCCACAAATCAGTTTACTTAACTTTAGCGCACATTCATGAGACTTTTGAAGGAAAGGCTCAGTGATTTTAGAGACAACTAATCTGCAAACAGTCCAAAAGAGAAACAAATTTACAGATTCAGATTTTTATTTATTGCACTATTTCAATAGTTTAATACAAAAAAATACAATACATCACAAAAGTAAAATAAGACAACATTAAATTACATAAAACATCAAAGGTGGAATGTGCGCAGTGACCAAAGGAGCTTAGGCTTTCGAGTTGGTCACTGCCACGTGTGACTAACTGGCGTAGATATTTAAATAGCGTATAACAGAGACAGGAAAATTAAGAGTGCATAAATTTATACTTACAATTTTATATTAAAAAACAATGGAAACGATAATTGATAGTGAGGGCAGTGAAATCAAATTACTCAAATTATCTACTGTCGATGAAAATTAAGGTTGGATGCAAACCTCAGGGGCTAGGTTAAGGGTTCCTTTGAATATCGTAGGGACGTTTGTTGCATTGCTAGTAATTTTATGTGTGAAAAGGGCTACTTTGAATTTGTAAATGTTTTTAATTGTAAGAATTTCTAAAAGATTGAAGTATGGCATAGCATTGTCCCTGCTATAAGCAAAGAACAAGCTACAAACACATTTACTCTTTTTAGTTTTAATCTTATGTGACCTGGTCTTACAAACACTGCCCCAGCTTGTAATACCGTAAGTTAAATATGGAGAAATGAAGGAGAAATGAAACTGCTTTAAAGTAAGAAGATCTACATAATATCTTAATTTATTAATGATGCCTACATTATTCGCTAGCTTTGTTTACGTTTTGAATCTGTGATCCCCGGTGTAAATTTTGATCATTGTATATACCTAGATACTTTATTTGACTTTTACGTTCAATATTATGTATAATTATGTATACTTCAATTAAATCTGGAAGATGAGATTACCATATAGCTAGTTGTCTTACCAAGATTTATAGATAGCTTGTTCGTGATGCAATACTTAAAAACTAATTTCAATTCTTCACTCATGACTGTTTCAAGATGTTCCAACTTATCACTTGCGTAAAACATATTTGTGTCACCAGCAAAAATTCGGAATGATAGTTTCTTCTAGTAGTTAGGCGAGTCATTTATATAAAGTAAAATAATAGTGGACCCGGCGTTGACCCTTGTGGTATACCACAAACAGTCTTTTTCTTAGCTGGATTTAGTATTGCCAATCTTATAACAAACTGAGTACGATTATGTAAGTAGTCTTAAAACCAGTTAAGAATGTAACATCACGTAATAGTTGTTATCCATTGGGATGCCAGGTTGTACATGTGCTCTCGATTTTTTACAGGAGTTTTCAGCGAAGTGAATCTTATGGATTAAAATAGCGTTTGTTTACGTTTACGAGGACTGTCTTGTTGCTTTACAAAGCCAAAGCGTTCTATGGTGTCAGAAAGCGTTTCGAATTCACACTTTCGTTTGGTTAACAACGTCATATTTGAACATCAACCCTGGTCAACAGCAAGTTTAGCAAGCGATTGAAGCATACCCACCGATCCACCGATTGAAGGAGGACAACCCATACAAGCTTTTTAAGCACCGATATTTACCAGTAAACGTCCCAGTTCGTCCAAAAATTGAATTATCTGGAAATCTTGCTAATAATTGGAAGCAGTGGAGGCAGTTTTGGAGTGCTTATGAATTAGTCACGCGTCTCAATGAGCAGACCGACGAGTATCGAGTGGCCGCGTTTATCACATGTATCGGTCCAATAGCGCTCACTATTAACAATTGCCTTCCGTTCCAAAGCGAAGACGAGAAGAAGAATTTAGCGTAAATCATAGAATTGTGGGAATCCTATTGCCTCGGGAAAACGAACATCATTTATGAAAGATATCGCTTCAATAATCGTAATCAAGACGTCGGTAAATCAATCGATACTTACGCATGAAATTTGAGATCTCCCTCCGATACGTGCAACTTTGGACCGCTTAAAGAAGACATGATAAGGGACAAGCCCCGCCGTGGTACGAAGGGGAAGGGGGGGGGGTTGACGGAGGCCCCTAGAGTTTTTAATATGTTGAAGTATTTGGAAACGATTTTACCTTCAGTGGAAAGCCTTTGATCTTCTTAACAAGATGAGGTATATTTCATGGGTGGTGGCGCTGCTGGAGGCCCTGACATCACCAATAATGGTCGCAATCTTGGCTGTCATCTTGGATTTTACCAAGAATTAGAAAGCAGGTTGAAACCGCGAGAAATGGTGATTTTTTGTGCTTGACATGAAAAATAACACATAAATGAGCACTTTGCATAATTTTAGCCACAAGATTTACTTTTATTGTTGAAAAAAGTTGAAAAACATGTTCTTTCACTCAAAAATGGTTTGACCACATATGACATCATATCTCTGAAACTGACCATCACTAAATTTGACTCAAAATTGCGCGCGAGGGATGAACGAACAGCTACTGAAAACATCAGGTGCCTTTTACTCTCTAGAAAAAAAGAACTCAGAAAAACCTTGTACGCCCGAGAGTTAAGAATTAAAACTACTCCAGGTACCGGAACTAACACCGAAGCTACTTCGAGTCAACTAGAAGCGATGACAGCGCAAAATTCACACGCACCCTCACCCCTTGAGGTGAAATTTGTAAAGGAGCCGTCCAATGGCTCGGATAAATCATCCTTCATAAAAGATTGCCGATTTTGTGGTCAAACGCATGAGAAAGAGAGATCAAAGTGTCCAACTTTCGGGAAAATTTGTTCTGCTTGTCAAAAGAGAATCATTTTGCTTTGAAATGTTACGCTCGCGAGGAGCTCCGTTATTAAATCAAAAATAAAGTGTAGATTCTAGAAAAATATTCACGCTATTAAAATTATTACTTCTATTGTTACGCGGTTGATATTATAGCGAAATTAATTGTATTAAGTCAGCAGCCTAACAGTTTGACGCGTCACCTATCACGTGCATGACTGACTTCATCAGTTTAAAAATTTCCATTTATAGCTATTTTTATATCATAAGCATGGTGAATACTGATGATTTGTCAGTCAGTGACACGGGCGGCGCGGAAAAAAAAAAGATCCTACTTTCAACATGAGTCAAACCTATGACGTTCTGGTCGACTATTCCAAGGTCAGGTTCGAAGGACGATTCGCGCTAACACGGGGTTATGTTTTAAATTAAACCGCGTTTCTTTCTTTTTTTTCTCGGATAATTTCTCAGTCTCTTCTTTTTAGAGCATCCAATCATCAATTTGTATACAAAAGAAAATAAACTTAATTGCTTTTAAAGCTTTCACGCTTACGGTAAATGTTAAGGGTCAATATGTACTAAGTGACCAGGTCTACCTTTCAGTTATCGTGCGGTTCGTTATTATACCTGCATAAAAATATTAAGTAGTTTCATGTCATGTTCATTCATAAGAAAACTTTTGCACAGATTTATCTTTCAGTTTTTTTAATACTTTCAAAAATTTTCAACTTGAAACTGACGTTTGGGCCTTTGCATGAAAACCTAAGGTTTAAAAATGATATTCGGCAAGCAAAAGAACTCCCACGTTCTGAAGCCATTGAAATTCAATTTATGTTCAAGTCAAGATCTTTTGTATCTTTCTTCCATTCTGTCATTACTAAGTAGTTTTACTTAATTTAAAAACACATCCAATACGCGCTGACTAAATAATGACAAATCCGATGATCAACTGACCCGACCGGGAACTTACAAAATAATGCATTAGCGCTCACAGTGCGGACTGACTACAAAGCCATTAAACGTATTAAAATCACAGGACACTTTCGCGCATTGCACCTTCTTAAACATAATGTTGCCCATTGAATGCACAACGGGTATTTCGCGGAAGAAGATATGAAACATCGGGTACAAAATTTCAAAGTTTATTCTTAGTCTTCCGGGGGGGACGTGGCGGCGTTAAATTATTCACAAATTAAATGTAGCAAATTTTCAGAGCTTTTCGCACAAGTTTATGAAAGATATAAGTGAGCATTAAAATTGCAATTTCCGGTAATTGAAATATCTTAATTGATGATTGAGAGATATATCCGTTGGATAAATAGTTTTCAAGCTTCTTTGTAAACGTCACGCCTTTCACAATGCCTTAAACATATTTTAGTCATGAAACAAAAGAATACGTAGTTAATGGCAGTAAAAAAAGTAGGGAAGTTGACAGTCTGAAATGTCATCCGTAGGTACTTGAGATGGGTTATCAATCTTCTGAACTCACGAGTTTACTTAGGATAAAAAAAAACATACAATATTTAATTGTGTATAAATTGGATTCACTGATTAGTCATTTCAATTCTTTTTTCGTCGGGGAAAGCCTTCCGGCAAAGAAGAAAGTTCGCCATTAAGCATCTATTCAGTGCTCACCTGGTTAACGACCAAGTGGTTTGAACATAAATAAAGAGTATTTAAATTAGCATTTTAAAAGTGCTTTCTCCTTGGCTAGCTTCAAGACAAAGTTAAAACAGTAAGTTACCCTTTTGCTTTCCTTCTTTTATTAATATTTTTCCCCAAAAGTCCTGCTTAAGTTTTTTCGTTTTCCACATGCGGGTCCTTACTGGCAGAATCCTGAGGTGTTAAGTGATATAATTCGTACTTTCAGCTCCCCGATCACCTTTGAATTAAGAAAAATCAGCGTCTCTCTAAGAGGTGCTAGAAGCGCTTTTTTCCCACTCGCCTTAAAATGTCCAGCTAAGCTTCTGCCATAGTGCAAGAAACTACATTAAAAATGGCAATCAGACATTAAGATTAACAGCACCATGCGTCTTTGCTTAGTTAGTAAAGATAATAAAATCCATACACATCCTCCTTTGCTTATTAATAAGTTATTTGAATAATTTTTGAGCAATTGATAGGTTGGTAAGCCTTGGATAGAAGGTGAAATCGTGGCAACGATTTGTCGAGATTCACGTTGACTCGTCTACATGTTTTTCTTCTTTAAATGAACACTTTTTGTGTGAATAAGACAGATGCCGTGTACTTTGTTCTTCTTTAAGGCGAAACATCTGGAACTTTTCTTTAAGATATATGGATGGTTAAGTTGTCCCTCATCAATTCCAGAGAACGTTGATAGAGAAAATCAGATTTTATTAATACCAACTAGTAAAATATCTACTATGTTGTACCAAAACCGAGACACTACTTTTTTAAAAGGGCATTCCTTATTTGTGTGTTCAGAAGTTAGAAATCCGACTTCATGCAAAACCTTTCAGACTCTTCAATTGCATAATCTGTAACTTTTGCGACGATTCCGGCGCCGTTACAGAAACAGTAACTTTCATATTTCGTCTTGCCAAAATGTATTTATAGTGAGCTATTTTCAAAATACATGAGGTGTAAACTGTTCAGCAAGACACCTTTCTGGCAAAAGCAGTAAAGTTTGAACTAAGGATTAAGATAAACTCATCTACATGTCCGAGAAAATTATTGACAATATATGTATACTAAAGGCTTTTTCAAAACGTTCGCAGAAAATACGTATTGAATATGATTCCGACGCAATGTTTCCCTGAAAAACAGTGTGCCATGACTTTGTTGGCAGCAAGACCATGACATTCGAAGCGGGAATACATTAGGTTGGAAACAAGTTTGACCCGCAAAACGTGAGGCCATGGGGAAAATTTTATAACTTTATACATAATTATATAATGCAGATGTCGATCACCGGTGAAGCCAGAAAGGTGCATGCTGCACCATAAAGTAACGATAATATCTATCGATGGATTACTCAGTAAAGGAGCATATGGATTTTAATACAGTTTCAGTTATTGATTTTTCATTTTCATTTTTGCATGTTTTCTATTAATTTTTTCAACTTAAATGGGTTACATATGATAAAGGGCCAGAGAGGTAGAGTCTGTACTTGGAAAATCTTCTTTGTAAGATCACAGAAACATCTTAAGAATCGTGGATTTTGATTGGTCCCGCAAAATATGGAACCTATCCAAGTTGTCAAAACTTGTGAGAAGAGTGTCAAGAAAATATCAATTTGTCTAGTGGCGAAAGATCTTTTCTATTAAAGTTGTAGTTTTCACGAGAAAACTTAAGTTTAAGGGCCCGACTTCATTGAGATTGTATATATCATTAGTCTCCGTAAACCCAGTCTGAGTTGGAAATTATCTGTTACTGCGGTCAAGCGGTTAATCATGTCACTTGTTATTTTTTTTGGGACAAATGAGCGCGAAAAATAGCCAGAGAGAAATAAATTTCTCATGTCTCAGTTAAGTTCAGCCAAGCCTAAGAGCGGAGCTCCCGTATGAGACCGGCGGTTTACTAGCTCTTCTTTTAAAAGGAAAGGCGTGTTTTAAGAGAAGTGAAATTAAATATTAGACTCTATTTATTGGAACATATGATTTGCTCGATAACCGATTTTACAAGTACGGTGAAGAGAGATTTGCCCTGCCGTGGGTTGTCGATAGGAAACTAAAATTCCTCCTTAATGCCAGTAAGTGATATTTAAGACTTGCGTTCAAGTTATTTCAAATACTTTCTTTCGAAAAACCCCCAGTATAGTGCTAAACAATTTAGGAGTACATTTCTTTAAAGCATTTAATCTGCCACTCGCTCCTTGGCAGCCGATGAAGGAAGATCCCTGGCTGTTATTTGGCCTAAAAACCGAGAAGCGGGTTAGAGGACTGTCTTTCAGAAACTTATGGTCTTATTGTGGTGTAATTGTTGTTGACAGTGTTGACGATTTATCTCACTGGGCCTCAGATTGCGGTCGCGATCTTGCAGTCCTTACTTGTCCTTATAAATGTTGGCGGGAACTTTCTCGTTTGTTACATTATCTTGAAGAACCAGGACATGAGGTATGTCATGGACTATGCTCTTTCCACGGGCGAATAATATTAAACTAACAATACAGACAGCTGGCTGCCCCAGGCACGAATTAATCATTACCTGTGAATCAACCATATTTTCGGTTTATTATTATTATTATCATTATCATTATTATTATTATCTAATATTATATTACAATTATATCAATGCATGTACAGCTTCATAGAATTTTCTCCGAATAAATGAAATTCTATGTCAAAAATTTTATGTACAAGGAATGACAAACCAGTTTCTTTGTGCTGATCTTCAAACAGGACGCCTGTTAATTTCCTCCTAGTCAACCTTGCCGTGGCAGACATGGTTGTGGCCATATTTTTAACACCGCAGCTCCTGTCTTTCCACATCAGTTTCACTCATCCAGATGGGTTGATTGGTACAGTGTTGTGCAAACTTCTGACCACCGCAAACTTCACCTACGTTGGGGCTGGAGCATCAGTTTTTACTTTGATTTGCATATCGGTGGAACGTTACTTTAATGTGTTGTATCCTCATGGAGCCAAACGCAAGCTAACCAAGCGCAAACTCAAGGTACGGTATATAATTTGTAACGGGGGGTGACAACTCTAACAAAGGCTGTTTGGGCAGTTCTATGAATAACTTTATGTCCTCCCGGAAATTTCGTCGACCCTCCCGAATTTTTCGGTGGCATTCCCCATAAATGTTTAACTTCCCAAAATTGTTTTAACAATTAAAATTAAAATTTTAATTAGAAGCTTCTTGTTGATTATCTAACCTTAGTTATTTTTTCGTTAGAGGGTATCATGTTAACACAGAAAGACCGTCAAACTTTTTAAGTATATATAAATCGTGTTTTTTTTTTTATTTTTAATCACCGACGAATCAGGCGAGCGCTGAAGGGGCCAACCACTAGGGGGGTCTGGGGGCATGCTCCCCCAGAAAATTTTGAAATCTTGGTGCTCTGAAACGCCGTTTCTAGTGTTCTGAGAGGACAAATTCTGTCCAAAATGTTCTCTAAATCAATTGTCTTTTTATGCTTATTTTTATTGGCGTGACTTAGCGTAGAAGTAGTCGATTTTATTTTATACAAGTTGTGCGGTTTTTGAAATTGCTCTGGAAATCACTTTCAGCTAAGTATAGTCTGTGTGGTGTCATTGTATGAGTATCATAAGAATTCATTTGAAAATTTCAGAACTGTCGAAATCTGGAATTTTCCTATGCCGAACGCATATTGATCAGGATTCGGGATTTTTGAGTAAAATCGGAAGGACCCCGACGAGATTAGGATGATTAAAGAGTCTTCACAGACATACTATTTTTTATGGCCTCATGTGCGTTTAACAAGGTTAAATGAGTTTCGTTTTTTTCTTACGTACTTCTAACATACTTTTTTCAAGTTTTCCAGTATGCAATCAGTGGAATGTGCTCTTAAAACTCGTTAACATGCAGCGTAAAAATACCCCTGAACTAATGAATGATAGGATCTGGTGTGAACTGATAGTATGTGCCTTGCACCGACCCTTGCACCGGTACGGTTCGTGTGTCAATCCGCTGGGGATTGCACGTGGTCAATCGCACTATATTAGTTGGAAACGTTGCTGATTAAGCCGTTTTCAATTGTCAAAATACAAGGAATACAGCGTATCGGCACAGGGTGCATATCACTGTATACATATTGTTTGATAACATGTAATATCAAATCCTTGTTCAATGTCCCGAAAATATCTCATATTTCCCGAAAAATTTCCCAGGTTTCCCGATTCCCGGCAAAATCTCCAGATTCCCGGAATAAATTTGTTTTTCTCCCGAAACAGCCCTTGTTAGAGCTGTCACCCCCCGTATTTGTAAAACCTGAAATGCCCTAGTATCTCATAAAAGCCCCTTGGAAATTATAATTGGGTTTTAAATGCCCTGTCCAATAATTGTCCCAACTGTAAAAAATGCCCACTTCCCCCTGAAATGTTTGGAAAGCAACTGCAAAACCAGATGAGTTCCCAAGAAGCATCACAGATTTAAACATTGATGAGGTTGATGAAGGCAACTTAGTTCTGATTGAAGATGATTTGAACATTGACATTAAAAGCTTATAAAATTACCCTTTTTAATCTTTTAATTTTCGTACACGTTCCACAGTTACTTTAGTATATTTCTAAAAGTTAAATATAGGCCTCTCTGATATTAAGCGCCTATCGTTGACTGAGGAATTGATACTTCTGCATGTCTAAAGAGTGAAAATAGGCACCAAATCAAAGTGAGATGTCACAACACTGGCACTAATAATGTCCACGTTTGCACGCAGCTACAAGACTTATTATAGTGTGTTTGCGAAAAACCAGCGATTTTTCGAGTTTATTGTAAAATTTGCGATTTCTGGCATGGTTGGAGATTTTTCGAGTTTACTTTAAAATCCGTGATTATGTGCAAATGTTCTTTATTTTTACATGTATAAAGCCAGTTGAGAATTTTACAAACGTTGCGAAACTTCTTTGTCATGTTATGATCAATTAAGTCGAATGGTCCGAATGCTGCATGCATGTCCGATCAAGACCCGAATGCTCTCGAACAATAAGCTTTTATAGCACAAACGTGTTTACACGTGTTTGCACTTCCCTCCCCTCCCTAACCTTTATGACGTCCTAGCTAAGCTTTGAACACTGCTAGTTACAGAATAATTAAGCCATGGTGACCACAATCATGTGTGGTCATCACCTTGTCACTAACTGAGCTCACCTTGTGGGTGGCTCCTCTAAAATGTTCTATAATACAATTGGTCTAGAATTTAATGGAGCCGAAAACAATGGTGGAATTGCACACATTTTAAGCACCCTACTGAAGAACAGTTACGACCTATAGATATTTCGAGCAACAACAATTTGCTGTCTGTCCTCTTTGAATGTTTTTCTTTTCATGATATGTTTTCCCAGGTGCTTGTACCTTGTTCCTGGATCTTTGGAGTGAGTTTGAAAGTCCCAGCTTTCTTGTCTTACGTCTATGTCAAGGAAGTTGGTGGTTGCGTTTATTTGCTTACAGAAGAATGGATGGGAAAACTTCTCAGTATGTCTTGGTTTATATTTTTGGGATTCCTTCCTGTCGTGGTTATGACTGCCTTGTATTCCCGAGTCGTTTACGCTTTGTGGTTCAAAGGCTCAGACAACGCTGGAAACAATTCACAACAGGTTGGAAAAATCTTACCCTACGAATACAGCTGTTTCTCTTTTCTCCTCGCCGCTAGGGACGTTTCGCCAGGAGGAACGTGTGCGTCTCAGCGACAGAAATTCCATACTGATGACGTATAATCTGTCGCGAATCTGGTCAGGAACTCTAATTGGTCGACTTAGTAGTTATATTGTTTTCCTACTGTTTACGAATTGACAGACAAAAGACAAAAGACCACAAAGGTCAAATGTAAACGTGATGAATCTACTACAAAAAGGGTCAATATTCCTGGAATTTATTCTTCTCTAGGAAAAGCATACGAGTTTTGCTGGAGCTCGTTCGCAGAAGGACACAAGACTTTACCATAATCGACCAGGAGAAATATAAAATTTAACAAATTTACATTTGAAGCCCTGTGACCAAACTAATCATGTAAATATTGATTTAAGTCATCAGCAAGGAATTTCTGTTGCTGAGGTGCAGACGTCCCTCCTGGCGAAAAGTCCCTGGCGGCGAGAAGCAAGAAAAGACGGCTGTATTCGCAGGCTAGAAAAATCTATACACAATAAAGTCCAAATGTTATTAGTTGAACCTGCTTTCAGTCAGCAGACACCCTCTTTTAAACCATTTCCACTCTGAGCTATTCATTTTACATGTCATTATGTCCGTTAACAATAAATTCCCGTCCAAAAGTAATATCTCCTTTGGTTTGAAAACAGATGCTTGACCCGGACTGGCCTCGAGTGATGTAAAATTTTCCTCTTAAATGCTCCTACAAAATAATCTTGCTTGGTAAACAAAGTTTTTGGGCCCGACCCGCCAAGCGCTTTTACATCTTGCTCTTTCACACAGCCGCCAAGGTCGACAAGGTCTTGCTGCCTTTGCCTTGTTTTCATGCCTGAAAGTGCAGTAGCCCTGCGTTTTTTGTTAAGTCGTCCTCAGAAAACATGACACCTTTGTAAAGGAAACATTGACTTAAGAAGTGCTATTAGTCCTTAAAATATGGCCAAATGACAATGAAATATGGTTGCCTCATGAGAGATAAGATGATTTTAAGTCATGGTTTTGAAAAACCGAATTTCCGTTTTCATCCGTCCAAACGCCTTTTCTACTCCGAGGATCCAATTGAATTAAACCTCAATGTTTCCCTCAGCTGGAAAATGAAATGAAATGTTTTCCTCTCAAGTGTTTTAAGCACGTATAAAGATATGTGGTGCAAAGTGTCTGAACACAGCATCAATTTGGGTTGGTGCCTGCGCTAGTACTCGAGAACCAAGTCTGAACACAGCTTGAAAGCATAAATTGGTTGATTTTCTTTTGTGACCAGCGTTGTGACCTGTGTTTAGAGACCTGTGTTTATGAACGGAAAAATAAAACGGCTTATCAATCGGTGATACACTATCGGGTATCAACTGTCTGAACACAGCACCAATTTGTACTGGTACTTGCTATAGTGATATAGGGAAACAATTGTGAACTCAGCCAAAAACATAAATACATTGATCCTCTTTTCTTGGTAGGGTGTGATGAGGGTTCGGAAGCGAGTCACCTTGATGGTCTTCATTGTCAGCATCATCTTTGGGGTTTGCTGGGGGACAAACACAGTTGGCTACCTCATGGTCGATTTTTTTCCCTCGCACAAATTCCATACAATAGAAGCAAGCAACACAATAGTCTTGTTGAATTCAGCCATCAACCCGATTATATATGCCTTGGTCAACGAGCGATTTAAGGAAAAGTTCAAGGCAATGCTTTGCTGCAGGCGGCAAAGAGTAAGGGTTCATCCAGGTGGAGAATCTCATGGGATCGAAAATAATACCAACCCCACTGATGCTAAAATAGAAACAGGAAGAAACTAAGAAAAATTACCTTATTTTTTTTTCTCAGCTAATTAAGCCTTTCACTTCCCTGGCAGCAAAATCAACACTGCCGCCGGAAAGAACTGCTAAGTAACTTTAATTTGAATGGTCACACTTTAGGGTTTCGACCACAGAGTTGAAAGTTAGAAGTACTCTGTACAGCTAAATAAGCATGCGATGGTTCTGCTCGGTAGATTCACGGTAACAAAAAAGGGTGAAAAAAAATGCTCGTCCCTCATACACTTGGGGCCTGCTGTTACTACCTGGTAGTTTCTGGTTTTACTAATTCCTTTGAAGTTTTTTGGACTTAATTGCATTGTTAACGTTGTGACCATACCAACGGATATATATTTGCCAAATTACTTTTAACAACACAAAGCAATGTATCATCCTTTGTATTAGTAAGCATTTTTTCTTCTTGTTCAGGAAAATGTTTCAGCTCTTATGGTTCAAAGTAAACGCTGTGAATTTCCCCCGGGGGGTACTCCCTTATATAGCCTATAGGGGATGTGCCACTGGACAGGGTATGTTTTTAATCTCCCTTTCCTAAACAGGGTATATAATTTTGTGCGAGTCTGTCCTAATCATAAACAGGATGAAATTCTTTGGTTCTCCAAGTATACAAAAGCAATGACTAAACCGTGTATTTGCTCTATTGCAATTGCCAATAAATGGTTTAAAAACAGGACGGCGTATATTTTGTCCTTTCTCCTAAACATGGTTTTAAAACTGAGGGTGTTGTCCTAAACAGGGTATGTATTTTACGATTTTTTTTGTCCTAAACAGGGTCAGAGTTTCAAATCCTCAGCGGCTTATCGATACCCAAATATTGATTGAGTAACCCCCCCGGCCCCCCGGAGAATTTCCTAACACGGCCACACAAATAAGTCGTTAATATCCTTTTTGTTTGATACCGTTTGGGTGACTTTTGCATCAGAATCATGAAGCTCATAAGCGTTCAGAAAATGTTTCGGAAGCTTTTATGACGGAAAAAAGTAATTTTAAGAAGTGGTGTTGAAGGTGATTTGTGTAAAATTGACCAAAAGCCTTGGGTAAACACTAATTAATTTATTACATAATTATCATTTTATTAATATGTAGGGACAAGTTTCAATCTAACATGTATTTCAGGAAAATAATCAAATTTTTTACTCATATCACTCTTTCGAATGCGAAGTTGACCTGTTGAATCGATTTGTTCTACAGTTTTTTTAGTTATTCAAACACTGTGACCGTTATAAAGCTCGGCCCAAAGAAACGCGCTTGCTCTTCTTGTCGTATCCACGACGGCTTTTCTCCAGTCCCCTTATATCCCACCAACAGCCATGACCCACGATAGCCTGGATTCAAAGGCTTGGTAGCGCCCAGGCTTTTAAGAGCATTAGCGGCATCATCAACGAAACTTCCGCCAGAATCTTTGACTGCAATCAACACCACAGTATGAGTGGGTAGAGACTCGATAAAATTCGCCATGTTTCTACCCGCAGAGCTATCTCCATGAGTATCGAAATTTCTGGCCTCGATAACGCTTCCTTCTTCATCGACCGCTACCACATTATGACCACGTTCCTAGATGAAGAAAAAATGTATTTTGACCTTAATATATAGATTTAGGGACGGATCATTAGAAAAGTGAAGAGGAGGGGGGGGGGGGGGGGGGGGGGGGGGGGAATTTTT